CGGCCCAGGGCGGCCAGCAGGCTCCACCCCGTGCCACGCGCTCTCCTCGGAGTCGCCTTCGCAACGCCGTGTGACTAGGGACCTCCGTGCCCACGTCCGGCTGGTTGGCACTAAGCTGCCCGCATCCTGTCACTGGGGGCAGCTCATGGCCTGAAGTACCCAGAGGAATTCCCTGTGTTCCCGAGGGTGATGGGGGCGGGCCCAGGGGCGGGGCCCAGGATGCGGGGTAGCGGGGGTCTGACAGACTCCCTCACTCCCGCCCCCATGGATGAGTACCCGCCACGGGTGGTCCGCCGGATGGCCGAATGGCCGCATGGCCGAGCCTTGGTGCTGATGGGCCAAAGACCGATGAGGGTTAGTGCTTGAGGCCTCTCAGGTGTTTCTCTAAATAACAGGAACTGCCTGGAAGAGGGCTTGGGAGGCCACACGTTCCATCTATGAGAGTCCGTCTATGGGGAGTGGAAGGCGAGGGGAATGGAGGTGGGGAGGAAAGGAGAAAGAACGAAATAGCAAAGCAAAACGGAGGACATGCACCCCAGGAGCTCAAGGGAAGGGGAGGGGACAGGGCTGGGAAGCGGGGAGCAGAGCTGGACCCCAGCCCCTGCCAGCCGGACTCGGACCCCTGCTCAGGCTGCCCTGTACCAGTCCCAGACGGAGTGGAGGCAGGCAGGAGGGCAGACCCTCCAGGACCCGCACAGCTCCCTGCAGGGTGCACAGCGCCTGGAGGCCTCTCTCCTGGGAGGCGGGGCTGGTGCTCTGGGGCGGCTCTGGGGGGGAGGGGAGTTTTGACCTCCCTGGCACTGGGTAAGCATGTCTCCCAGGGCATTCTGTGGTAGCTTTGCAACAGTCCTGTGACATAAACCGCACTGCCAACCCACTTTGCAGATGAAGAAACTGAGACAAAACCCGGGCCCCAAGTGGGCTCTGCCAGTAAGAGGCTGAGCGGGGTCGGGGCAGGACGCGGAGATGGGGGAGCCCACGTTTCAGGCCAGAGGCGTCCACAGGGACGGGCCGCAGGCTGTGGGGCTCCTGACTTAGGGAGGGAGGCCTCTCTGCAGGAGTCAGGACCACAGGGCTTCTCCCAGGGCCTGAGTGTGGGAGGCTGGAGGCAGGGCCCCAGGACACAGTGAGTGGGTCAGAGAGGCGGCCCAGGCTGGTGGGAGGTGGGGCACATGGGGAGTGGGTGCCCCTGGGACTTCCAGGTGAGAGGAAGGTGAGCTGTGGGAAGACAGGGAGCTGCAGGTGGCACTGGGCGGGTGAGTTGGCATTCTGGGTCACAGACTCCCCGGGAGAGTGTATGCTTTAAAAAAAAAAAAAAAAAAAAAAAAGCCCTAACTGGTTTGGCTCAGTAGATAGAGTGTTGGCCTGCAGACTCAAGGGTCCCAGGTTCAATTCCAGTCAAGGGCATGTACCTTGGTTTCGGGCATATCCCCAGTAGGGAGTGTGCAGGAGGCAGCTGAATCGATGTTTCTCTCATCGATGTTTCTAACTCTCTATCCCTCTCCCTTCCTCTCTGTAAAAAATCAATAAAATATATTTTTAAAAAAAGTCCTCGATCTGGATGCATGCTCAGTGGTCAGAACGCCGGCCAATGCACCGAAGGGTCTCAGGTTCAATTCCAGGTCAGGGGCACATACCTGGGTTGCGGTTGGCTCCCTGCCCCTGTTCGGGGTGCGGTCAGGGTGCGTGCTGGAGGCAGCCAGTCGATGTGTCTCTCTCACATCGATGTTTCTCTTTCTCCCTCCCTCCCTCCCTCTCTCTGAAAAGCAGTGGAAAGGGTGTCATCAGGTGAGGATAGAAATAAAAGGTCCTAGAATGAGGCGGAACTCCATGAACTGTTCCGGTGTGTTTGCCAGATTTACAGTTAAGTGACAAATGCAAAGTGCAGAACAGTGTATGTCGGATGCTGCCTTTTGCAGAAGAAATAAGAGGAAAAAAGAAAATGTTGATGCATCTCTTTTTATTCCCTTTTCTTTTTGAGACAGAGAGAGAGAAGCACGGATAGGATATTGGTATTTACAAGGGGTGGGTGGGGAAGAGCAAAGAGTGGAGAGCAATACCGCTTTGAGTTTATCTTTTTATATAAATTTGATTTTGGAACCACTCTAGTCTTTTATACACTAAAAAAGTTTTATCAGCCCTAACCGGTTTGGCTCAGTAGATAGAGCGTCGGCCTGCATACTCAAGGGTCCCAGGTTCGATTCCGGTCAAGGGCATGTACCTTGGTTGCGGGCATATCCCCAGTAGGGAGTGTGCAGGAGGCAGCTGATCGATGTTTCTCTCACATCGATGTTTCTAACTCTCTATCCCTTTCCCTTCCTCTCTGTAAAAATTCAATAAAATATATTTTTAAAAAATTTATATATTAGAGGGAAAAAACTGAAAATGAAATACAAGCAGAAACAAATGAACTGTATTCCCAATGAATCATGGAACCACACCAAATAGGGGCTTTTGAACACAGGACTTAGGCTATACTGGGTGGGGCCAAGGTAGGTTTACAGTTGTTCGGATGGAAAATAATACAATCATCCTATCTAATAATAGACAAACATGGTAATTAACCGTACCTCCGACACGCTTCCCATTGGCTAATCAGGGCAATATGCAAATTAACTGCCAACCAAGATGGCAGTCGGCAGCCAGGCAGCTGAAGCGAACAGGACGCTTGCTTGCTCCAGTGATGGAGGAAGCCAAGGTTCCCCGCCTGCCGCTGTCGGCCTCTGAGCTGCATTCTAAGAAACAATGTTGCAATTATAGAAGCTAAACAAACCCCAGAAACCTGCTTTCAGCCAGCTGGGCCTCAGAGCTGAAGTTGCAACAGTGTTTCAATTATAGAAGCCAAACAAACCTAGATACCTGCTTTCAGCAGCCGAGGTCTCAGAGCTGGAGCCTGCTCTCAGTTCCAGTGACAGCCATAGAAGGTAAATAAATCCCAGAATAAAAAAGAAAAAAAGGAGAGGTTGGGAGCTTCAGTCGCCCACCAGCCTGAAAACGGACCTCTGCCCCTCACCCAGACTGGCCAGGCACCCCAGTGGGGACCCCCACCCTGAAGGGGGTGTGACCAGCTGCAAACAGCCATCACCCCCTCATCCAGGCTGGCCAGGCCCCCAAGCGGGAC